CAGATCAAATTAGATTACCTAGCAAACAAACAAAACAAGCAAACTAAGTTTAATATACTAAAGAGATTGGATATGAGTAGCAAATTCTCATCCTAAATGATGATTCAAGCAGGCTGCAGATATTCTTAAGGGGCCAGCTGCACTTGCTTAGAGCTTAAAAACACCAGGTGTTCCTTTCACAGGCTAAAAATCCCTTTAGCCTGGGTCCAGCACTTTCCCCCAGTTCTGTCCTTCTTCCTTAGCTCTTTCCAGGAGTCTCTTTGGGTGGGGAGTCAGTGAAGAACCACAATGATGTCACTCCCCTGCCTTAAATAGCTTTTGCATATGGCAGGAACACTTTGTCTCAAAGCTTGGTTTCCATGCCAGTCAGTGGAAAAACACCGGTATTCCAGGATGGAGTCCAGTGCCAGGTGATCTGGTTACATGCCCCTGTAGTGCCACAGCAGCCATTGCTCGGAGGCTGTTTGTAGTGTCCTCAGGAAGACACCCCACCCGTCCCCGGTTGGGAGATAAATTTCTTCTAAGGCCTATTATTTTCTCCTAATGGCCCTTTAACCTGAATGGGCCCTTCCCAGCCAGCCATCTAGACTGATGGTCTTTTGCCTAGTGGGTGTTTCCCAAGTGTAAACACATTTGTAATACAGATATATAGTCAATATTCCTAACTTCAGATACAAAAAATATACATGCATACAAATAGGATAATCATATTCAGAAAATCATAACCTTTCCAATATGTCACAAGACCCATCTTGCATAAAATACATCAGAATTATGCCATAATCATATCATCATAATATCACTGTGAAGAATATTGGGTGAGGTGTCACAGTATGCATAAGTGACTTTGTGTAGAAAGCATGTATGCAATCGATTTGCATTGGCACATTTGAGCATGTACAAATGGAGGCTAAGTAAGGTACTTCACTGTAGGACTTCTTCCTTCACAATCAGGGTGACTAAATTCAACAGGAAAGTCCTGGTTCTATGGGCTAAGCCCAGCATGCTAGATGCTTATACAGTTTTGTCCCAGTATAATCAGCCATGCTGCAAGGAACTGATGTAAAAGGAGAAGGGTACTATCTTCTAAGCATAATTGAAAAGTCTTTACATAAATAAAAGTCCACAAAACACTAGCTGCAAAGTAAAGCCAATGAAAACTTGTATAAGGACTGTATAGCTTTAACAATTATGAATAATTTTTGCTTCGCAAGCTAAAGAAGAAAGCCTAAAATCCAATAGGATAAACATAAAAGAATAAAAAGAGAGAAAGTACAGGAGTGTCATTCTGACTAGGAAAGAAAAAAAAAACTTCCTCATCAGAGTTGATTCTAAAAATTCTCCCTGAAAGACATTAGATTTATGCTACAACTTGTGCTGAAAGCTGATATTGATTATCTAACCAGACAAATATTTTGCATTTCTCTTTTAGATTGTTGTAGTTTGGTGATACAATGGAAGAGGGAAACATTGATTTATGTATGTTATGGATACTAATGTTCACAAATCTGTGAAAAGCGAGATGCTTAAAAGGACATAACTCAGGGGTCGGCAACATTTGGCACGCGGCTCGCCAGGGTAAGCACCCTGGCGGGCCGGGCCAGTTTATTTAGCTGCTGACGCGGCAGGTTCGGCTAATCGCGGCCCCCACTGGCCACGGTTCACCATCCCGGGCCAATGGGGGCTGCGGGAAGCGGCGCGGGCAAGGGATGTGCTGGCCACAGCTTTCCGCCGCCCACATTGGCCCGGGACGGCAGGTAAATAAACTGGCCCGGCCCGCCAGGGTGCTTACCCTGGCGAGCCGCGTGCCAAACGTTGCCGACCCCTGACATAACTTGTTGAAGTCCAAAATGTGATCTGTCTTAGAACTGTTATAATCTGGTGAACATGACACAATCTTGAATGTCATAGTAACACAGCAATAACTGCAGTCTTCTGGATTCTAAAAAGCAATAGGCCAAATTCTGTTTAGATTATTCCTGCATAGACAACTCAAAACTTTTTGAGTCTTAGCTTGTGTAATATCTTTTATCATTCTGTTGGGGGATGAGGTGATGGGTTTGTTCCTCTTTAGAACAACCAGTGATTGCCTCTAAACCTGTGGCTCTCCCAAATCAGTGTGGATCTTGAGAAATCTCTGAAGACCAGTGCCATGCACAGAGGCTTGGCCCTCCTGCGCTGGTGCCAATGGCAGCGCAACTCTGCAGTAATGCTGTATGTGCTTCCTTTTCTAAAATGAAAGGGAGCTTTTGGCCCTATGTTCAGGGGTGAAAGTAATATTAAATTCTTACTGGTACGGGGGCCAGCTCCGGCCCTTGGAAGGGGCGGGGCCTTGGGTGGAAGAGGCGGGGCTGGGGGGGTTCAGCCTTCTCCCGTCAGCCCATTCGTGCTGCCTGGCCCCCACCGTCCGGGGCTCCGGTGGTGATTTAAAAGGGCCCAGGAGAGTGGGCTGGGGGGTGGTGTGGGGGCAAAAGGAGCAATGACATGATTAACATGGGCTGTGTATAGACTGGTACCAGCTTCTTACCAGTATGGCGTACCAGCCTGTACCGGTCCACTTTCACCCCTGCCTATGTTTAACGTGTAATTCTGGCAACAGATGATTGAACAGTCATGTTCCATATGTTTAGTTCTTTGTTGCTCCAGGGCCAGCTCCAGGGTGGTCGAATGTTCAAAGCTCTGAATTTCCAAGAGGGTACTAACAGAGACCCTTAGCTGCAGTCTTTTCCAGTGCAAAACTCCTCAGCAGGAGTGACAGGGCCTGACGATTGCAATCAAATAACTTGATCATCTGTGAAAAGTAATATTTGTGTGCTTTATTGCAAATCTTTAAAAATATTTAGCATCTAATCCTTTCCTTTTCAGACAGTTTAGCTGGCTCCAGAAGGACTGTCAGGCTTATGGGAATCCTCAGGTGGGGTAGATGCCCTGAACTGTCATCTCTCCACCTGGCAAAGATGGTGCAGTTGGTGCAATTGCAGTTGCTGCTGCAATGATCCATGGCTTCTGGAATGGTCTCTAGGGGTCATTGGCAGCTGTGACGGTGCTGCCAGTAGGAGCCAGCTGAGGTCACTCAATCAGGGTGAACTGCAAACAAAACAGGGCAGACAAATCCCAAACGCTGGTGAATATTCCAATACTTAGATTTACCAAGCCAGCACAAAACAGCTTCTATAGTACCTCACTGGTTACTTAGAAGTCCAAACCACGCAGTTCCCTTAAAGTGCCCAGCCTCAGGCCTCCATCCAGACACACCTGTCAAACATATGATGATGATTACTGAAAATCTTATCTCATCATATAAAAGAAAAGGTTCTTCCAATCCCAAAGGATCAGCCACATACCCAGGTTCAATTACAACTTAGATCTTACCCAAAATACACGCTTATAGCCAATTCTTATTAACTAAGCTAAAATTTATTAAAAAAGAAAAGAGAGAGAGTGTTGGTTAAAAGATCAATATACATACAGACTTGAATTCAATTCTTGAGGTTCAGATACATAGCAGAGGTGAGCTTGTAGATGCCAAAAGTCCTTTTAGATATAGTCCATAGGTTATAGTCCAATGTCCATATTCAGGGTGGCTCCAGTCAATGACTGGGGATCTCAATCCTTGTGGTTTAAGGTTTCCCCTTCTTGAAACCCAAAGCAGATCTGAGATGAAGAAGGATTATGTCCCATTGGTTCTTATACATTTCCAGCAGCCTTTCAGCCTGAGAAAACAATAGGCTTAATTCTCCTTCCAAACATCCTGGCAATTAGCACAGGGTAATTTATCCATTAAACAGTTCAGATACAGGTTACCACAACCTTCAAAGAGACATATAGCCAATAATACTATTTCACTCAAGTATCATCATAAATGTTAATATTCCTTTTTTGATCTTTGAATTTAAAACCATAGCAATAGACAAGACTTGTTTGCTTACATCACAAGCCCGGAGCAAACATCTACCCTTTTACCTCTAACAATGCAGACTTGCATTTCAAAGCTCTATTCATTTACATATCTTCCTAACCAGTTTCTACAGTTCACCCATGGGTCAGGTCAGTCTG